TCTTCTCAATGTTATCCATAATTTGTCATGATCCACACAATCAAATGCCTTTGCATAGTCAATAAAACACAAGTAAACATCTTTCTGGTATTCCCTTCCTTGAGCCAAGATCCATCTGACAACAGCTATTTCACTGAGGTGGAAGGCACCTAAATTTTTGTTGGATTAATTCTCACCTGCTGTGTCCAACAAAACTGCACAGGTCATGAAACGAAGTGACACAAAAGGATTAAACATTTTTTAAAAGGAACGGGGGGCAGGCGGACACCCTGCATATTCTGCAAGAGCAACCCCTGATGCATCCATCCTACTTAATTTATACATAAGCACACAATTACATCATTATTCTTGATATTTCCTTAAAACAATCAAGTATTCAAATATTCTTCTACAGTAAAATCAAATATTTCCTTATAACAATCAGTTATTAATTAAAAGTTAAAGTTTTACTCTTTCCCACACCCAAAGGCATTTTCCCGTATCCAAATGTATTGGATAATTAATTAGATTAATATCTCTTACAGGATTAGCAAATAATCACTAAGATACATCATTCTAAAATAGATGATTGTTAAGGTACATGATTCTAAAGAAGGGTTTCTAAAGTACACTATTCTTAGGGCAAAACGCTATCCTAGGGAAACAGGTTAGCAACATTTTGCTGGGGCTGGTGTTCCACCCCAGGAACACAAAGCTGGAGCCAAGCAAGCATTCAACTGTAAGAGAAGCCTTGCCTTCCCTTGGCTGTTGTTAGAACATGTGCCTTGCAATCATATCCTTTTTTTGGTGATCTTTTTCTTGGTCTCCAACACTCACCCTCTAGCACATGAGTGTCTTACCAATAAGTCTACGGTCATTGATACTACTTCCTTACTGGGTCCAATCAGCATGATGGCATCAATGTAATGGGCCAGTGTGACATCCTGTGGATAAGAAAGGTGATCAAGATCCTTGTGGACTGAATTATGACAGGGCTGGAGAATTGATATAACATTCAGTTAGGAAAGTGAAGGTGTGAAGAAAAGCTCTTCTGACAATTCTTTGCAAATAGATTTGAGAAAAAGGCATTGGCCAGATCTGTAGCTGCAGACCAGGTACCTGGAGATGTATTAATTTGCTCAACCAGTGAAACCACATCTGGAACAGCAGCTGCAATTAGAATCACCATCTGGTTAAGTTTTTTATACTCCATTCTATTTTTTGCCCAGGCCAGATATGCAAGTTAGATGAGGATACAGTGGGAATTACTATCCCTGCATCCTTAAAGTCCCTGATTGTGCAAGTAATCTTTGCAGTCCTTCCAGGAAAGCGACATTGGTATTGGTTTACTATTTACCTAAGTAGGAGCAGTTCTACCTAGTTCTGGTGTCCCCCACTTGGCTTTGCCTACCATAATAGCCTTTACTTCACATGTCAGGGATATACAAAGTGGGGGTTCTTCCCACTGATGAGTATATCTAGCCCAATTATGCACTCTGAAACTGGGGAAGTCACTACAGGATGGGTTTGGGGACCCACTGAATCCATTGGGCTATAGGCCTGAACTCCATTGATAACATGGCCTCCATATGCCCCTACTATGACTGGTGGGTCACAGTAATGTGGGTGTTTGGAATTAGTGTCAGTTCAGAGCCTGTGTCTAGTCATCCCTGAAAAGTCAGATTATTTCTTTTGCCTCAATGAACAGTCACTCTCAAAGGCTGTAGATCCCTTTGGGGAAGGCTGGGAGAAAGATTAACAGTATAAATTTTTGGCAGTCTGGGGGGTCCTTCCTCAAGGGACCTAGCCTTCCCTTCATTCAAGGGATTGTGGGACTGTTAACTGGCTGAAATCTGGGAATTGATTGCAAGATAATGCCTCTGTTCTGGCAATTCAAGTTAGCCTACTGTTCGAATTCATTCATACAGATCAAGTAAATATTTAGTAGATTTTCTGTCTTTTTCACTCCTAGGCACATCATTATTAAGTAGACAACACCCATATGAATCAGACAAATCCATATGAATCTGACTATTCTGATTACTGCTTTGATTCTGCTGTCCATTACAGCTACCACACCCACCTTGTTTTTGTGATTAAGTGCTGCCACTTGGCTCCTACCACCTATCACAGGGTCTAATCAGCCCCATTATAGTTAGGTGTCAACTCAGTTAGTGCAGTTCCCATGGTCAAATCTTATTTACATTAAATAGGAAGCATAGCAGTCTTCAAGGATGCTGGGGCTTCCTTCACAAATTTGTTCCTCATTGTTGTTGTGAAAGGTGTGTCCTCTGGTTACTCCATGGGTGAGTCTGTGGGTCCAATCTGATAAATCCACTCTAACATGCCAGTCTTCCTAAGCCTTTGGATAGTATCTTGTACAGTATCCAAGATAGGTGGCATTTCAACTTGATTTAGTGTAGGCCATGGTTTAATCCATACCTCAGTGAACCAACCAAATAAATTATAAAATCCTTTTCTAATCTCTCAAGCAGAAACACTGAATGAAGAATCTGTGCTTAGGGGGCCCATATTAATAAACTCAGACTAGTCCAACTTTATGTTCCTTGCACCATTATTTCACACCCTTAATAATAAATTCCTCAATGTGTTTCCCAGATTTCTGTTTGTATGTATGAGAAATATGAAGGAGATTTTCTGCAGTGTAGTGTACCTCTTCTTGGGTCACAGTTTGCACTTCACTTCTTGGGGCTCACTGGGACTTAAGTCTAGTTATAGGTCTTGAAGCAAGAATGGGTGATGGGATTAGGCCCTAGAGACATTCAGCAATGTCTTGTAAGGCATCTACCTCAGGCAGTGCTTCAGACAATGTCTCAAAGACTCTTCAGGCAAGCTAGATTCTGTCAACAGATGAGGGTGGAAGGGATAATGGTTGTACTGGGAAGGATGCCTTAGTAGACAAAGATGCAGTAATCTCTTCAGATGAGAGTAAGAAGGCTGATTTCATTGACAGGAATGATTTGATGGAATTAAGGGGCTTTTTGTCTACCAAAAGTAGGACCAACCAGTCAGCTTCCTTATACTTCCTTATACTTCAGGTTCCTGAGTATCTGCCCATATATTCCCATCCCATGTTTCAGGATCTCATTTCTTCCCAATCAATGCCCTCACTTAAATTTCAGACACCATTCAAGGTTGAGAATTCAATTGGTGTTGTAATTCAGCCACTCTTATGATCAGGCTCTGGGTTGGTTTTTTTTTTTTTTTTTTTTTTGCCAATATCAGCTCTGTTACTACAAGAAATAAGGCTTTCTTTCAAAGCACAAGTGGCAACTTCCAGGTTCTGTATGTGGGGCTGGAGATGTTACTCTGAAGTTTTGAGCTCATCCCTTTCTTTCATCACTTTGTCTACCAAAAGTAGGACCGACCAATCAGCTTCCTTATACTTCTCATTTTGACAAAATTGTAGGAGAGTATCACATATGCAATCACTGAGAGCCTTATCTCTTATAAATATCTGATCCATGCTGGTGATATTTTACATATTTCTATTGCCACCCCACACTATGGATTATTGTTGCTTTCTCCACTTCTGGAGGCAAAGTCCTCAGCACCTTTAAGACTAGCCAGATTTGAGAATCAGTTTAGAAAACCCATCCTTACAGCTTTGTTCTTCTAGCACCACTATCAGTACCAAATGTCTTAGTTTGGGTTCTCTAGAGGAGCAAAACCAGTGAAGTGTACTTATTTATTAATTTAAATGAAATAGTTCATGAAGTTGTAGAGGCTGGCAAATCCCCACTCATGGGTCAGGCACCAGGCTAGGGGCTTCTCCTGACTTACATGGTTGTAGGGCCTGACTATCCCAAATCGTCAGGTTAGACAGCAAGCCACTGGCTTATGGGCTGCAGGAGCTGACAAATCCCAAAATCTGCAAGTCAGATGGCAGGCTGCTTGTTCATATTCCAGGAACTGGAGGTCAGAGGATGACAAGTAGGATTGAAAGAAGGCAAGCTTTGCCAGAACATCCACATACATTGGATGCAGGTGTACCCTAAGGAAACTCCCCATTCAACTGATTGGCTACTCACATCAGATCACAAAATGGAGGGTGATTATATAATATCTGCCAAACCATTGATAATCATGGCTTAGTCAGGTGGACATATAATCTTAACCATCACAGGCACTGAATTGAGAACTCAAGACATGGGCTCTGTGCCCAGCTCTGCTTCATGTTGTTTTTCCCCATCATTTTTTTTTTTTTTTTTCAGTACAATAGTAATCCCTGTCTCTTAGGGTTTACACAAGGAGAAAATGAAGTGGTACATGACAGAGATTTGTGTGTAAAGCTGAAGTCAATTTCTAGTTTCATTTATTTCTGTGAAGTTAGCAGAGATATAATCTGATGACTGGGGAAACCTACGTAAGCAGTTTCCTTCCTCATTTTATTCTCATTTTTTCATGACTTTTCTCATTCCTACCTCATTTCTCGTTCATCTTCTAAACCCAATAGACTCTGGTCTGGTTCTGTGATGACTTTTGAGAGCCAAATGTTTCAGGAAATATATTCCAGCAACCTGTCCTTGCTCCAGCCACTGACAGTTTTGCTGCTGCTGGGTGAGTGAAGGCCGTTCTTGAATAGACAATTCCACCCACTTTTACTGCCTGGACTCAAGGGACCAATGTGGTAAGGAGCAGGACTGGAATCTGGGAACAGTTTGAAAAAGGAGAGAGGACCCTGAGTTCCTATTGTTCTAAGGGTTCCTAAGGTCAGAATTCAGAGATATTTTATGAGTCCATTGTTGGTAGGGGGGCATTCTGTGCAAAGTATTCAAGTTAACTTTGCACTCATGTGACGAGAACAGGATATGATAAAGGGCATATGAGAAATGAGTACTCTTATAAGACATCAGCTGAGAACAGGCTCTTGAGGTGGGTCCTGGGGAAAGAAGGAGCCTAAGATCATTTTCTTGGTACTCCTCCACACACACAACTAAATGTGCTTTTGTTGTCTTCTGTGCTACATTAACCTTCTCTTCTTTTACAGCTTTTGCAGATGGGCTAGCTGGTAAGTTTATTTTTTTGCTTTATTGACGTGGTGCAGTGAATTACTTAATATGACTCTTACAGACATGGTTTTTGTGATTCCCACCAGATGACTAGGTAGACCTATGTAAATGTGAGATACTTTGTGCCACACCAAAGAGATTGGATTGTTTGTAATGTAATGCAATGTAAATAAGGCACATGGCACCCTTGTGAAGGTGGGACCATGAAAATAATGTATATGGAACCCTAACATGGGGATAGGAGCTCTGGTAGTGTAGTGCCTAAGGCACTTGACTGCTAATCAGAAGGCTGGCAGTTCAAACCCACCAGCCACTCCTCAGAAGGAAGATGGGGTAATCCACTTTTGTAGTGATACTGCCTCAGAAACCCAAGGAGGGGTTGCTATGAGTTGAGTCCGACTCCACGGCACTTAACAACAACACGGGGATTGGTCAGTTTTGCCATTCTGCTAGGCTTAAAATGAGCTATCATAAAAGCAGAAAGGGTGGATCTCACTACTATGAAGACAGAAGAAGAACCAGGAGTGGAATGTGTCCATAGAGTTGAGATTCCTGCTCTGAGACTACAGAGGGATGGTAGAGAGGCAGCAGCAGCACAGGCAGCAGAACCAAAAGAACCAAGAGACCCGTGTGAGACAGAGTGGCAGGCTTGCAGGCCCATGAGCAAGAAAACTGAATGTCTTTGGACAGGAGGCTTGCTAGTGGAGTGGGGTATACCAATCAGCAGAGCTAGAAGAGCTTTGTCCACTTGTGACACTTGTCCAAGCAGGGCAGAGGCCAGGCCAAGAGGTCGAGGCCAGAGAGAAGGGTGCCCATGGCATGGCTGAGAAGCTGTCCTGATCAATGAACTATATCCTGAATTGTTTCTGATGTTGAATTATAACCTATTATTTCCCTAATAAACCCCTGCTAAAAAGGTCATGGAGGGGGCATCTTTTAACCTCCTGTAACTTCACAAGAGGAAGACAGAATCACCATCAGCAGCCCAAGGTGTATTCCTATGAGGTCAGACATACCACCACCCTCCAACATTTTACTAATTCTGACACCAGCCTTCCATCCCATGGCATTCAGCATTCACTACCTCTCTGCTGGGTTTGATAATTCATTGCAATAGCCACACAGAACTCACAGATAATACTCATGATTATGGGGTTTATTAGGGAAGTAACAGGTTACAATTCAGGTTCAGGAATGTGCTCAGGATACAGTTCTTCGATCAGGACAGTTTCCCCTCTGCTATGCCCTCAGGCAAGCCTCTCTGGCCCTTGGCCTCTCGGCCTGGCCTGTGCCCTTCTCAGGCAAGGCTCTTTTAGCTGTGCCAATAGGGAGACCTAGGTGCACTTCACTTCACCAGCAAGGCCCTACCCAAGGGCACTCAGCTTTCTCAGTCCGTGGGCTGGAAAGCCTGCTGCTCTGTCTCCTCCCTCCTGGTCCCACTGCCACTGTCTCTTAGCCAGGTGTCTCTCTCTCAGCTAGGTGTCTCTCAGCCAGGTGTCTCTCAGCCAAGCGGTCCAGCACAGGGATCTCAGATTCAAGGACACACTCCACTTCACCTCCAGTTCTTCTCTCTTGATGGCAATGAGATCTTCCTTTCTTGCTTTGTGGGCTGGTAAGGCTGTCACTGTCTCATGCTGGTCTCTTGGCTCTGTTGCTGCTATCTCTCTCTGCCAGTCTCTTGGCTCTGCTGGGTTCTCTCTCTGCTGGGGTCTCTGTACAGTGGACCCAAGAGGCAGGAGATGGAGAGGCTAACTCAATGGCAACATGATGCTGTCTGTTTCTGAGTGGTAGAGGAGCTCCCTGAGGGGATCTATGTTCCCAGGCCTCATGGTGAGATGTGTGAGTAAAAGGAATTGCCTTCAGTTGCAGACCAGTTCTAGATCTGGCTCCACTATTGCTGTCCTCAGTAGGACTGTAGGTTTTTCTTTGTTTGACATTCAGGGCCTGCTCAGTTTCCTTCTCTTATGCTTCCCCTTCTCTCTGCTCCTCAGCAGATCTTCCAAAGGCAGTGGTGAACTTGGAGCCACCATGGGTCAATGTCCTCCGAGAGGATAACGTGACTCTGAAGTGCCAAGGGACTCACACCCTTGGGGACGACTCCACCCAGTGGTTCCACAGAGGGAGCCCCATCCCAACTCAGGTCCAGCCCAGCTACAGCTTTAAGGCCACCATCAATGACAGCGGGGAGTACAGGTGCCAGACAGGTCACAGCAGCCTCAGCGACCCTGTGCAGCTGGACGTGTCTTCTGGTCAGTGGAAGGAAAACTGGGACAGGTCTGGGAGGACAGGAAAGAGGCAGTCTGCTTACATCACAGAGGCTTTCAGGAAGAGGGGGTGGCCTGTTTACTGAGAAGCACTGCTGTGAGTTGTTAGAAGCAGTTTTTGCCCACTCATTTCCCTTTTCACTCACTCCGTTTCTCACCAAGTCTTGTGAGGGTAAAAATGTCTTTGGAATCTCTAAGACTATGTTAATGATTACTTTTGCCTCAGTGTTGATTAAACACCAAGGTTACAAGACCACAGATAGACAGTTGAGTATGAGAGAAGCATAAAGAAATCCTTTTCTGATAAAAGTATCCTATTTTCACAGCAGTATGGTAAACCATAGAGGCCAGAAGCAAATAGAACTGCAAAGGCTGGGACCATGCCTGAGATATGTGAGAAATAACAAGAAGGCCATCTAGCTGGAGTGCAGGAGGCTATAAGGAAGAAATGAATCTAGACTATGAGGCCAGAGAGGGGAGGAGGGGGAAGGAGATCATGTGGAGGCTGGTAGGCTGCTGCAATGATTTTGACTTTTATTCCTGAACAGGCTGAGAATTCATTAGACAGTTTTAATTAAAGATGTTATATGATGCGAATTAGGTTTATATAAATATCTCACAGGGTACAGTTTAATAGATTCTGTAGAGAAAACCAGTTAGTTGCCTTCCAGTTGATTCCAACTCATGCCATCCTCGTGTCTGTCAGAGTATAACTGTGCTCCACTAGGTTTTCAGTGGCTGATTTTTTTGGAAGTAGACCACAGGAATTTCTTCTGAAGTGCTTCTGGATGGACTTAAACCTCCAACCCTCCAGTTAGCAGCTGAGCACCTTAACTGTTTGTACCACTCAGGAGCCTCTTAGTGAAAAGTAAGTCATTATATACCCTATGGCATGTAGATAGGTGAAATGATCAGGTATGGGTAGACAAAAGGGAATATACTCATGACCATATATGTTTGGCAGATAATATTTCTATGTATGTATTTGTATGTGTTGTAAGAATGTCCATATATATGATAGAACTAACAGGGGGCAAAATTATGGTAACTTCTTAGCCACAGCCAAACAACTTTGAGGGAGTGAGTTGCTGGGCCTAAGGGCTCAGTTCCATGGTCATAGGGGACAACAAGCTCAATTGGCATAACTACACAAAAATATTGTTCTACATCTATTTTGGTGAGTAATGACTGGGGTCTTAAAAACTTGTAAGTGGCCATCTAAGATGCAACAATTTGTTTCTCCTCCTTTGGAGCAAAGAAGAATGAAGAAAATCAAAGACACATGGAAATAATTAGTTCAAGGGACTAGTAGGACCATGTGAACCTCAGCCTCCATGACGCTAAGACCAGAAGAACTAGATGGTTCTTCTAGATGGCCCAGCCACCACTGTCAACCACTCAGAAAGGGATCAAAATAGGATATCCTGGGTGGTGGTGTAGTGCCTAAGGCACTTGACTGATAACCAGAAGGCTGGAGACTCAAATCCACCAGTTGCTCCTTGGAAGGAAGACTGGGCAATCTACTTCTGTAGTGATACCACCTCGGAAACCCAAGGAGGGGTTGCTATAAGTCAAATCTGACTCGACAGCAGTGAGTTTGGTTTTTGGTTTGGTGGATAGAGTGGGAGAAAAATGTGCAACAAAACTCAATCATAAAAATGACTAGGCTTCCTAGCTGCCCTTCAGGTCTGGAATTGAACCCACACCTGTGGTTTCCAGCCAAACAAAATACAGGCATGTGAGTTAAACATTTACCTCAAGTAGACACAC